GGCAGAGGGACGTGTTTTGGGGAAGGAGCATTCTGTAATTTCTGTATTTCTACACTTTCTCCATTCTAGGTCAGATACAACACACTGGGTTATAGCAGCCTTTGTCTGGCAGCTGGGGGTGTCTGTCCTCCTGCATTCTCGTGCTTCAGTGTGTTGCTGGCCACCAATAAAGACTGCTTAGTACTTACTTCTACGTTAAACCATTTCAGAGAGGAACATGCTATTTCACTGCCTACAGCTGAGTTTGTCAAGCAGGCGAGCAGGATTCCTGAAAGGCAGAAGCTCTCTTTGTAGGAATGAGAGGAGCTGGAGGAGGACTGCACACTTGATTTCTCTGTCCTCAAGTCTTCCATTGCCATTGAAGTGCACTTTAACTTCCCCAGAGAGTGTGTGTTAACTTATCTGCTGTATTAAAAGCAATAATTATAGCCCAGGAGATATTTGTAAACCTTACAAAAGTGTTTGTGGGGAGTGGGGGAGAACGGTCATGGTGGGAGCATTTGGGGCACAACGTTTCGTTGTCCAGAACACACAAAAAGATGTCTTCTGCACCTTGAGGGTCGTGTGAGGGTAAATGCAAGGGCTTTCCCTCGAGTATTAAGGGATCAACTGATCACCTACAAGGGAAAAATTGTAACCACTTGTCATTTGGATAGATTGGAATACGCTGCCTTGGTATCTGCTCTACCTACTCAAAACTCTGCGTGAAAATCACCGACCTTACTGTTGTAATTTTTGTTAATATTTGTGATAAAACATAAGTTAACCAGCAAATAGTCGTGTGGCTAAATATATTGGCAGTGTTGAGTCCACAGGATCTAACACAGTACGAAAGCTGAAAATCCAAAAGATCTAACGAAAAAACAGTTCTGAAAATCAGTTCTAGTTTGTGTCTGAAAAGACTTAAATGCCAGTTGTTCATGCTGCTTCTACCTCCGTTTCAATCAAGCTTTTGATTTAAGAAATTATAGTTGTTAAAATCTGCATTGTATCTGTGTACAGATTTATCTTTTCATTTTTAAGTAGCAAAATCACCAGGGTTTTGGCAGACATCTGAGTCTTGTTGGAAAATGCACATCCAAAGCAGCTTATGAGATGAGAGAGGTTAATTTTAATTTTGATAGATGCCTTAAATTTAAATGCTAGAAAACAGAGTGCGTTTGGGTGCATATATACGTATATTTATATATTAGAAATGAAAAGTTTATTTTTTCCTTTGTCTTTTCTACGTTAAAAAAAAGTATTGCTTTTTAAGCTGCATCAGTAATTGTAGGCAAGGTCATCGATTTCGTACCACAACGGGAGATGCCTGTTTCACTACTCCAGCCTGACCTATTTAATGAGTAGCTGGTACACACTGGAGCTTACTGGCTTATAGAAGAGCTGATCAGGTAACTTAAGGTTCTGCAAGTTGTACACATTCAGGCTAAAATGTGATAATTAGAACTCTGTCCTTTCACTCCATCAGTGTTAACTGGACTCACTGGGAGAAAGTGTTTTGTTTGGGAGAAAGTGTTTCGAATGACTAAGTTGAACTAGAACAGTTATATAACTCCGTGTAAGCCTGAAATTAGGTTACTAAAGTTTGTCCTAGATGCTAAATTTGTCTTCTGGACTGTTGTCCTGGCACACAACAGTTCTGCTAGACTTTTTTTTTTCCTTTTTTTTTTTTTTTTCCACAAGTTAGAACATAATCATGGGTATATCCTGTGGCCTAATGAAGTTCTTTGCCGTAACAACTCCTCGCTCCCGTTTTCGGTGTCGTACCCAATTACTTATCCATGCACTATATTTCCCTCTTTTGCTCTCTCTGCTTTAAGTAATTAAATTTGATCCAGTAATTATAGTATCTGATATAGCTTCTACTAATTTATTCAGTATGGAGATAGGTTAGCATCCTATTAGGTTCCTCCCTGACCTTTTAAAAAATGGCATCGCATTTGCCACCTCCCAGTTCCTGAGGTATGTAAGCAAGAGACTGCATACCACCGTTACCAGTTGAGGAACTTAATTCTTGAGTTTCTTTAGCTCCTTTGGATGATGTGATATGGTTCTGTTGCCTCTTGCTGTCCTAAACATACACCTTCGTGTCTGGTCATGTGAAAACAGAAATGATTTACTCTTATCTGCTCTACCTCTGGCCCAGTTGTGATTTGAATTATCTCTTTACTTATTCACAGCTCTCATCTTTTCCTGCAGGTTTGATTAGTTTTGGGTTGCTTTACTTGGGTTACTTCAAAAACGCTGAACAACACAGGGCCAAGAATGATCTGCACTGCGCCTCTTAGAAGTGTGTTGGGTGGACAAGAGCATCACCTGCTTCTGTTTCAGTAAGGTTTAGTGGTTTGGCAGCTAATCAATCTCTAATCCATCTAATATACGTTGTGTTCTTGTAACGCTGGGATACTTTAGTTGAAATATTAGGCAACACTCAGCTGCTACTTACATAAACTTGGCATTATCAACACCGTTACCTTGTCAACCAAATGTGTGGTCTCCTCAGATGACACTTGTGGAGTTAACTGGACCGGGTTGTGTTGGTGGTTGGTTGTCACTCCTCTTTGACTTCATACAAAGACTTCCATATCTTGCTTCTGTGTTTTGATTGAGCCTGAGGGAAACTAATTACTTAGAACCTGCACATATCAAAGTCATCCTTTAACCCTCTCATGGTAATTGTTTTCTTCTCTATTTTGGTATTAAGACTTCTTATAAGTCAGCCTGTATAGTCTGGGGATCTTCTTGGAGATCTCTTTTTAAAAAAATCCTAACTTTTACTTTCTTTGGATATGTTTATAAATGGATAGCCTAAGCCCAGGCAGGAAGTGTGTAGCAGCTGTGTAACATCTTCTGTCGTGACAAATGGAGTAGGTGTCTTGCAGCGCTTTAGAGATGAGTCTCTAGCAGTTGGACCTCCTCCCTCTGCTGTACCACTCGACTGTGCTGACCGTATGGAAATTGCATACATTGTCCCTGAGACACGGGTGTCGCTGCTGTAAACAGGATCTGTAACCAGCTGTGCCCCGACCCCAAAACAGCCTGGGCACAGATTCTTCCTTATTTGTTCTGCGTGTCATCCTTCTGTGGCCAGTGTATGAAGTCAGTGATAAAATCTAAATATTATTATTACTACTACTACTACTGAGAGTGGAAAAAGTACTGTTAATACTGGAAAATATGCTTTATCTACTGCCACCAGAGAGGATCCAAAACTGTGTTAGGATGTGATCATTCTTCTTAGGATGACAGCTTTGAATCCTGTTTTCAGGAATACGCTTAGACAAGCCAGACAGCAGTAATTTTAGGTATGGTTATTCCTGCCTTGTGTAATGGGGTAGAATAACTTTCCAGAGTGTTCTTAAACCTTGTTTTCCGTGGTGGACTTCTCTGGCTCCCGTAAGGAGTCTTAGCAGTAAAAGGTTGTTTAACCACAGCTCCAGGTGTACCATCTGTGCAAACCCTGACTTGAATTTCTTTGCAGTTTCTTTTGGAAGAGATGTTCCAGAGGTCCCAGTTTTATGAAGATGATGGTGACATAGCATCATTGGTTAGAACAGCTCTGGGAACTTTCTTAGCGCCTCAGTTACACGAAGACCAAATGTTGAAGAAATGAGAAGTCACGTTCTCTGTGAATGAACACCAGGGGTTATGCCCATGGAAAGAATCTGCACATTGCTTGGGTACATATGATGGGGAGTGAAGGGTCTAGCTTGTGACGAGCTGGAGAAGGATAGGAGGTTATTGTATGCTACTGCAGGATACAGATGATGTTGGAGTTTGAATAGTGAATATCAGCATGGCTAGCACAAGCTGAAGGAGAACTGGTCTAATAACATCCCTGTGGGACAAGGGTTCAGGAGGTTACAGTTACGAGGACCTTATTTTTTTCCTACTTATATCTGGTAAGATTTTTGGAGAATGCTACTTGTGTGGGAAGCAGGGAACCTCTTATTGTAAAAGTCAGTTTTGTCACTCACTATTCCATAAAGATACCTTGTTTAATTTCAGGGTTTAATGAGTCTAGGGATTCATCTGGCTGATCAGACAAAAAATAATTGTACCTTCTGTTTAGATCTTACATTTTTTTTTTTTTTTTTCATTAGTGAAACAGGTTTGAACTTTGAAGGAGTGTTTCAAACCATTGCTTTCAGAGCCTTGTTTGACCCTTACTGTTCCTTTTGGAGATTGCATGCCTTAATTTTGAAATCTTCATTTAAAAGAGAGAGTGAGAAGGACAATAAATACGTAGCTTTTCAATCCAGGCAGTCCTCGTATGGATACCTAACTGGGAGTGATGTCAAAGTCTATTGTGCTTTTTCAAGTGTACTTTTAAAAGAGTTGGTTGTCTGGGTCAATGCCTTTTTGAACAGAAGATTAATAAGCATCCACGAAAAAAAAGAAAAAAGAGTTCAGAGTATGCTAGTGAGAAGTTCTAAATGTGCCATCAATGGCAATAGCCCAACTGCAAACGACAGTACGAAGGGAATAGAGACCTCTAGGCTGGCTTGTGCTTGAAGAAGGGTTTCTACTGCTCACAGGACCTTTCTTAATTTACTGGTCCTCCCAGAAGTACAGCCTGTAGGCTGAGGACACAGTACCTTGCACACTTTTGTTCGCCAAGTGGAGTTGCCTGCTGTTGATGTTCTGAGAACTGCATCTTAGCTGCATGGCACAGATGCTCAGTGGAGAGCACCGTGCATGGGTGCTCTGTTAAATGCCATCTTTATTTATGCATTTATGGTGTCTTTTGGTCTTTCTAAAACATTCAGGTGTGACTACCCAAGCATGGGTTTGTAGTTAAGCTGCCAGCAAACTTTTTGTTTGAAAGTGGTGACCTTAAACGCAAAGCACTTTCCTTTTTTTTCCTTTTTTTTTTTTTTCCTTTTCTAATAACCTTTAGGAGTCTGAAAACCTTTGTCACTTGTTTTAAATATCCTTATGACAGGTCCTTGTAAGCCTGTATGTATTTATAGTAAATGCTACACTGTGTTTCTCACCAGGGAGATTGCAGCTATGACCTGGAGATTGAACCTCACTTACGTATGGAAGACGTTAATGTTCAAGGGAATAAAAGTCATCTTTCCATAACCAACTCCACGTTTGATCGGAAAGCAAGCTCATCTAGAAAAGACATGGCGCGCAGATCAAAAGTAAAACCATTTTTACCTGATACAAATGATAATGGGAGTGAATTCTCTTCCACATTTAAAATAACAAAAACAAAGACTCCCAAAGGAACTTCTGGATTAAATTTGGAAGTGCCTGTGTTGCCTACAGATAATAATACTTCGACTTCTTACTCAGCAAGAAGGCTTGCTCTGGTGGAAAACACTGACCAGGGCAGTCAAAAGGATGAGGATCTAGAGGTGACATTTGACTTAAATGGATTTGTTGACCTATGTGACAACAATGAAAGTGCTATAATTCATGATAGTAGTGCAGGAATAAAGGAATGCAAAACTACAGAAAAAGCTTGTCAATCGCTGGGGACGAACCACACGGATTCAGGTTATAGTAGCCTCACAGTTGAGAAATCACCCGTGTCCTCTGACTTATTTTATCTTCCTGAATCATACGTGGATTCGTTTGCGCTCGTGAGACCATCCGAGGAGCTTTCTTCTTTAAAACAAACATTTTCCCATGTGAAAAGGCTTTTATCACAATCTCCTCCCTCTTGGAATGAACTTTCTGGTTTTGAAGACATGATGAGAAATGAAGAAACAATATGTCCGTTTCAAAAAGTTATTTCTGGTAATTACTCAAAGAGACTGCAGGACAAAGTCTTTTCTGTGTCCTCAGACGTGGATCATTCAGGTGTTGATCATTCAGGTGTTGATCATTCACGGCTGCTGTTTGAAAATCCCGAACCGAAAGCCACCAGTGAATTGGGTGCTTCTGTAAGTACCTGTTTTTCAAAAACTCTGTCATCTTCTGAGACTGCTGTTGCTAAAGCCAAGGAGGAACTTCACTGGAATGACAGCTTTGATATGGTGTTTGATGATGAAGAATTCACTGAAATGCAAAAGAAATCTCCAACAATCAATCACGCTCTGGGAAATAACCCTTCAAATAAGAATTTTGTTCAAAAAGATAAAGAAAACCTTCAAGTGAACAAGAAAGATGTGATTATCGATGAAGAGAAGAGGGTACCTTTATTTGAAGACGGCCACGTTTACGACACAAATGATGGAAGTTTTTCTGTGAGCAATCAGCATTTAGTCAAGTCAGATCCAGGTGAGAGGGTGGTCTCTCTCACAGAGCCAGGCTTTGGGTGGCCTCCTTCAGAGGTGTGCTGCGTGAGCGCTGAGCAAACCTGCGAGGAGCCACCAGCAAGCAGTAAATCCACAACCCTGAAAACGTCAGGTGATGCTGATGTGACTGAGCAGTTTCTGGATCATGAGGATCTTTATGACTGTTCTCAAGAACTGTTTTCTGTTAACTTTGATCTGGGGTTTTCCTTTGAAGAGTGTGAGAACGAAATCTTTGAAGAAGATGTAAATACTAATAATACCAAAAAATTAAATTGTGCCTCAGAGAGTCACACAGATGTTAAATGCACTGAAAGTAAAAAAAAATTACTGAATGATAGCTCCAGACTTGAAACATCACCAAACTGGGATTGCAGAAATCTTGAGAGAAGAGACGTTTCCACACCATTGCCATTCCAGAGTAGGAACATGAATCGTAGGGAAGGGACTGAGGATGCTACCACTGCAGTGCCTTTCTTCAAGTCAGGAGACAGAAGAATGGGAAATGGATCACCTGAAGCTTTGGCTTCTGCACTTTCTACCCCAACAAGTAGAAAGGTTATGAATACTGAAGCTATCAAAAGAATTCCTATGGAAGTCTTCTGTAGTACCAGCGAGGAAATTCCAGAGGTGCCTCTTACAGATGAAGTAAATAAAAGCCCATGTAGGCAGAACTTTGGGAGTTTAGCCCTGGATACACTTGATTCCCCTTTAGGAAGAACTGAAAACCTGGAAGACACCAACCTTCGTAGTTCACGTGTGTTTTTTTTTAAGGTAGGGATTTCAGTGCTACAGTTAGTTTAGATCCTTCATTTTAGATACACAGAGTCCAGCATCTGTTCCATCCTCAATTTGGTTTTGTGCCTTAGGTGGGAAGGATGAAAGGAAAAGGGAATAATGGTTGTAATACTAGAAGTTGGGTCAACGAGGAGACTTTCCACAACCTTAACCCTGCGTAGGAGCACAACGAGGAGACTTTCCACAACCTTAACCCTGTGTAGGAGTGTAGCCATTTGAGGCTGAAATGCACGTGTCCATATTGGAGGAGGTGTTGGGAATTAAACCTCCCGTACCTCTCCGCAAGTGCTGACGGTGCAGCCGTGTGAGACATCGTTGTGCCAGCTGGAGCTGCCGTTAAAGCCCTGTCTTAATCTTCTCAGGATCTGATTTGTAATCTTCTGGATCTGTTGCACTTCAGTCCCTGAATCCATGCTTTCATATTTTCCTACCATTGTTCCTGAGGAATAGAAACTCTTCTGATGGATTTCTTTCGGTTTACTTGCATGACAACTGACGTGTATTTAAAACTTTCTGATTATAACTTCAGCACAACCCTGTCTTATCTTAAAAATATGGACTGACTGTAGGCTCTATTCTATTTCTGTTTCCTCCCTCTGTCTCCTCTTCTGTCTTTTTCTGATTTAGGATCAATATGCCATTAAAAAATATTTCATATTCCAATATTGCCAATATATGTGACCATCATTCTGCACTCATAGGTCACTTACAGGTCATATTTGCACTCGTTGTGTATTTATCTCTCAATAACTTTGAATTACATTCAAAATAATTCAGGCTCAATAGTACTCAGCCTGGTTCATAGGGCACATCGAGATTTTCTGAATGGTTTTGTTACTGTCCTTAAACACTGAAACAAAGCATAAACTGTCCTTTTGGTGGTTAAAGTATCTTTTTTTCCTGCTCTTTGAGTTTTCTGATAATAGTCATATTTTCTGAAGATGGTTGTCAAATGCTACGTTTCTTCCCGAATCATCACGCCTTCAAACAGATATATTAGTTTTCTGAATTTTATTTAATATATTTAATACAAAACAATTTAAAAAACCCACAAAAAAAACCCCAAAACCACAAAAAGAAACAAATTGCTGGTTTAGAATTGCAGGGTAAATACTGAACCTGGATCAGCTTGTTAAGGGCTTTATCTGGTTGGGTCTTGAAAACCTCCCCAGACAGTGTGTGTGTGAGACCCCCCTGCAGTGCTGCGTTCAGCTCTGGGGTCCCCAACACGAGAAGGACATGGAGCTGTTGGAGCGGGTCCAGAGGAGGCCACGAAGATGATCTGGGGGCTGGAGCACCTCTGCTCTGGAGACAGGCTGAGAGAGTTGGGGCTGTTCAGCCTGGAGAAGAGGAGCCTCTGGGGAGACCTTCCAGCAGCCTTCCAGTACCTGAAGGGGCTACAGGAAAGCTGGAGAGGGGCTTTGGACGAGGGTGTGTAGTGACAGGACAAGGGGCAATGGCTTTGAACTGAAAGAGGGCAGATTTAGATTAGATCTAAGGAAGAAATTTTTCACTCAGAGGGTGCTGAGGCACTGGCACAGGCTGGCCCGGGAAGCTGTAGCTGCCCCATCCCTGGAAGTGTTCAAGGTCAGGCTGGATGAGGCTTTGAGCAACCTGGTGTAGTGGAGGGTGTCCCTGCCCATGGCAGGGGGGTTGGAACTGGATGTTCTTTGAGGTCCCTTCCAACCCAAACCATTCTGTGATTCTATGTTGTTGAAATGATAGTTATTGGTATTTAAATATGTTATTTTAGAAGTGGAATGTTTGGGAACTTTTTGCTTTTCCTTAAATAAATTCAAACTTTTGAGTGATTTAGTCAACCAGCTCTCCATCCCACCCCACCCTGCCATACTCCCAATGAAGCTGGAATGCCGTGGCTGCAGTCAGTGCCGAGGCAGCTGTGGGGCAGGAAGGATGTCACACTGCACAGCACACCTACTGCCCCAGCCCATCGGAACTGGGGCTTTGTCATGCAGAATGTGAAGGAACATGTTGTATTTCATAAAGACAGTCCTTTGTAAACACAAAAAAGGTTGCAGTTGTTTGAAAAGTAACTGGAAAGAGGGATTTTTAGTGAGTTCTGGCTTTGCTTCAGTGCACCCCACAGGATGTGTATTACAAAATGCTTCCAGAAGCGTAACTCTTACTCAGCTTTTAAGGGCTTCTTCTCTTGGTTTCATTTTTCACCTCTCTTTTTCTCTGTCTGTACTGCCCGGAGTAATCACTTCCACTCAGAGACTCTCCAGAGAAGAAGGATTTATTGTCCATCTCAGCTGGAGATTATTTATTTTGATTAACAAGGCTAAAGAGAACGATATTTGCCACATGGATCGATAAGTAATCTCCTTTGTAGGTACTTCTATGAGAGAGACAGATTTCCTTTGCTCAGTTATAGCAACACTGTATTGTGAACAATGCATTTTCTCGTGAATGTTGTTTACTACTTTTTCTGTAGGAACCAGCAGTGAGAGCGAAGAAGAAATCGTTTTCCAGAGAAAGAATAGGAAAAAAATGAATGTTTTGAAGTCTCCTGAGGTGAGTCTTGGAAAAATAATTAAAAAAAAAAAACAAACAAGGTAAGCCAAATAACAAGTACAACAGCAAACCGAAAATCCTCCTTGCAATTATACTTGTTTTTGTTTGCTCAGGTTGTGCGTGACAGCGATTCCGAGTCGCTGGTTCGTGCCGTCAGGAAACGCCGGCACCCCCTTAACACGGTGAGTGGAGCTGCTGTCCTTCCTCCAGTTCTTCCCCAACATCGCCCAGGACGACTCTGTCGTCGTTTGGCAGTGAGTTACTGCAGTAGGCAGGAGGGCTGAGCCTCTCCCGTTGCGAAAGGCAGTAAAATAACCTCTCTTCTGCAAAGCTTTGAATCAAAGAAACCATGTTCATGTCACACTTGACCTCGTTTTTCTCCCAAATAACATGTTTTTCTGTTCCTTTTGTATTTAATGAGGTCCTTAGCGTTATTGCATATTTTGCCACAGCAAATCAATCACGAAAATCAGCTGTTGCTTAAAAACTAAAGCTGTTTGAGGGATGACTGTAATTAAAATATTGCTTTAGTCTGATTTATTGAAGCGTTGGTGAAATGTTCCTCCAGTCAGACGTGTCGAGTGAGGACAGCGCGGATTTTCACAAGAACTCAAGCAGGACCCCAGGTGGCAGCTCAGCAGCCCGTGACAGAAACCAGCGGAGAGGGGCCAAACGGCGGAAGGTCGGGAGCAGTTTTGCCTACAAGGTGTGTGACGTTGTGTGTCTCTCAGCAGCCTGAAGGGGCGGCTTTGGAGCAGGTTGCACTGAGGTTGCCATGCAGATAACGGCTGTGCTGTGTCGTGTGTGGGTGTGTAAGTGCGTTGCAAAGTCTCGGTCAGAAGAACGCGTCGTTGAACGTGAGCAGCACATGTTACCACGCAAAACCAGAAAAAGAGACAGAAGGAGAATTGGTGAGATTGTACTTTCTGTTCAAACTTCAAGAATGAACTGAAAATATCATAGAATCCCAGAATGGTTTGGGTTGGAAGGGACCTCAAAGATCATCCAGTTCCAACCCCCCTGCCATGGGCAGGGACACCTTCCACTGCACCAGGTTGCCCAAAGCCTCATCCAACCTGGCCTTGAACACTTCCAGGGATGGGGCAGCCACAGCCTGTCTGGGCAACCTGGTCCAGTGCCTCACCACCCTCAGAGTGAAAAATTTCTTCCTTATAGCCAATCTAAATCTCCCCTCTTTCAGTTTAAATCCATTGCCCCTTGTCCTGTCACTACACGCCCTTGTCAAAAGTTCCTCTCCAGCTTTCCTGAAGGCCCCCTTTAAGTACTGGAAGGCTGCTGGAAGGTCTCCGTGGAGCCTTCTCTTCTCCAGGCTGAACAGCCCCAACTCTCTCAGCCTGTCTCCATAGCAGAGGTGCTCCAGCCCTCGCATCATCTCCGTGGCCTCCTCTGGACCTGCTCCAACAGCTCCATGTCCTTATTGTGTTTTAAATATTTTCTTATTTGTCTGTGTTTAAATTTGGAAAAGCATGAAAATGCCAGAATCACTGAGCACTGGTTTCACATACTTAAGATGAAAATTTATTGTGTCGAGTCACTCATTCTGGAGCTTGTGTGTATTTTATGGCCTAAAAAATGGAGATTCTGCCTGTTTTATGGCCTTTTGTAGGATCTCCTGATACAACTGTATTATGGTAGGCATGGAGTTGGGCAGCTGTTTGGATTTAAGACATTGCTTAGGAGGGTTCAGGCTCATAGGTGTTTCACACCAGTTTGTTGCAAACATTTGAGATGAAATCTCAAAACACTGGATAATCATCTTAATTCTCACATCCATTGCCTGATTTCAGAAGAATCTGCAGGGCCCTGCTTAATGATGTTCTGAAGCCAAATCACAATTTACATTACAAGTAGAAGATACTCAAAGAGTAATCACATTCATGAAGCTCAGGTACTTGTCCAGAACTTATGCTATTAGGATATTTGATCATGTCAATATACAGCCTACTCTAATGACTTCAACGTCCACCATCGTAAGACATCCTCGGTCCCTCGACCCCAAAGCTTAAATCTTAACTTCATACTTGACACTTTAATCTGTCACTGCCTGAGGAAGGGATGCAGGAGAGGAAGCAGAGCCCGAATCATATTCATCGTAACTTGAAAAGTTCTTAAACACCGATGGACGTGGTTCCATTAGGCAGAAATTACCGTGATCAGGGCTCTGCGGCACAGATATTTGGAAATTCTTGATGTTTTAAAGATAATCCTCACTGTGGAGACTTCCCTATAGTATCAATATTTTATGTTCTGGAATACAAAGAATTAGGTAGATGAAAAAACGATTTTTCGATTTTTCTTTAAACTTTTTTTTTTAATGTGTTACTAAAAGGTTCATGGAAAGACAGTGTGTATTCTTACGAAATTCCACTCTGCTCTCACATACCGTCTTACCTAAACATCCATAGTGATGAACATGTGAGATCCAAGACACGAAAATCATTCTGATCACCCACCACCAGTTCAGTGGTCTTTCAGAAGCACAGGTGACGGAGGTGCAAGTGCAGCAGAGATCTGCCGTTGGATGAACAGAGACTGGGAGAAGTCCAAGGGGACCAAAATAGCCACTTGGAATTCAAAGATGCAATCAAGTAATTCAAGAACCTGGTAACTTATTGTTTCCCGAGTGTGACCAGACTCTTGACTGGTGGTTTCTGGTGTCACAGGGGTTTGTCCTCTCCATAGTCCTTCACAAGTGAGAAGGATGAAGACTGATTTGCAATAGCGCTGAGAGTTCTTTCCTGCAAACAGGTGACCCCCAGTGTGTTTGTGTAATCAAAACTGCTCTAGAAAAGAACTAGTAATAATGCCTGTCGTTCAGCCTTAGTGATTGGTGTAAGGAAATAATTAAAAGACTTAAGAAAATTTGAAAATCAGAGATGTCACTTATTGTAGCACAGATGCCTGTCTTCCATGTGTGAAAACAAAATTTACAGCTTTGTGCTTTTTTTGGTCAAAGTACTTGGCAGGCAAACAAATAATTCTTTTGGAGTAACTGGGATCCATAATGTTTCTTGGGTTCTTTTCATGTTTTACTTTAGTACTTTATAGCTGAAATTGTAAGAGAAGAGGTCAGCTTAATATAAAATATCTCTAACAAAACATGTTCCCGATCTCATTTGCTTTGTTTCTTGTACATTGTTGTGAATGTTTTGTTGTCTGGGTTTGATGGACCTTAGTACCAGGGTTTGGATCATGTCTCCTGGAGTGCAGTGCCTCATCTTCCCTGAAAGAAAAGCATTATCTCAGTAATGAGTTGCGTTGTCCGGTGAACTCATGAAACAATTAGTCCTAAGCCCTAAACAGCAAGGGGCAAACCAGGGTGAAGTCTGTGTCCAAAGTTTCTAGTGGACTTGGGTTCAGAGTAACCTGACGCTTCTAAATCAAAAAAGACTTTTGAAAGCAAAAAAAATGAGTAAAACTAGATTTATAAGTTAGAAAATAACCTACAGTTTTTGGGTAGCTTTGCTACAATGTGTTAGTGAACTCTGCCTCGGCTATTAACTGGTCTAGGAGCAAACAGTGCTGCGGGCTGTGGTCACCTTTTTCCAGTGCTTTGAACTGGACTCCAGCTTTGCTGCCTGTGCTGGTGGGACCGACATTTGTGTGCTGCTGTGTGTTTCACTAACGTTCTGTTCTTTCCATCACCTTTCCCTGTGATGAGTTCTCCTTTCAAAGCCAGAAGCCTAATACCTGAGATCATGTAAGCAGCTGGTGTTGCGAAGTCACAAACTGGTTTAATCAGAGGTCTCATGTGTATCAGTAGTTAACTGAGAGCCAGCTTCCAACTAAAATTTTGCTTGGATTTTTTCCTCTTTTAGAACGCAGCAAGAGAGTTTTTAGATGAAGAAGCGGAGCTGTCCCAGCAAGATGCAGATGGTCTTTCATCTGATGAGAGTGATGATGCAGAGAACGAGCTGAACTCTTCTCTTGCTCAGTTCCTGAATGATGATGAAGAGGTCACACAAGTGTTAAATGGTGAGTGAGGAGAGTCGTTTATGGTTTTAAGATAAAGGTCTTGCTCAGCAAGGGGGGTATGATAGGCACAGCCATTCCATCAGCCATGTCAGCACATGTCAGCTAATATGCAGTAACCTCCTCAGGTGCTTTCCATTATCTGTTTGGACCTTTTCTGTTCTCATTCACATGGTTTTCTCATGTAGTAAGTTCCTCACTGGAGCCTCTGCTGTGCAATAGCTTTGGGCAGGCTGGAGACAGTTCTTCCAGGAGATCACCTCTCACTAAGAGTCAGCCACCCCCTCTTACGCCATGATGGCTGAACAGAAACACAGTTTTCCACTTCACTTAGAAATTTCTGAATCTTCCAGGTCTTCTGTTACAGAGAGACCTAAAATATGATATGAAATAACAATATGACTGTTAAAGATAAAATTACAGTGTTGACACTGACAAGGTCAGTGAGACTGAGAAGGTAATGCTGGTTTTTGGCTGGGACGGTTTACTTATCTGTGCTGTGAACCTCGTCTTTCCCTGGGCTGTTTGCATGATGGAGTCATCGTGTTACCCTTCAAGATTCTCAGATGTTGCTGACGATTTTCAGTTCTTCACTGGGATCGAGTTGTTCCCTGTAAGACCCTGTGGTCTTAAACCCACCCCTTTCTCATACAGCCTCCGAAATCAGTTGTGTCTGTTTTGGGAAAGATTTGCAACGCGGAAAACGGAGCGGTTTGGGTTTCCTGTGGTTAACATTGTCCCCTCCCTGCTATGGGTGTGCAGGGCTCTGCCTGCTGAGAAAACCTGCTGCATGGCAGCTTTCATGAGGGCAAGCGGGGTAGACCTAGTCCTTGGCTTTGGGATTTTCCGAGGTGTCTGGAGATCAGATTTTTGTTTTGTGAAATACAGGTTTTTGAGAGACTATAAAGGAATTGCTTAATATGGAAAACACAATGTAGCAATAATGAATTAAAAGTATATCCTTAATAAGACTGTATTCTCTTTTATCTTGGGTTTATTCAGACTGTGAGATGAAAGGAGTTTACCTGAAATCCGTGCGCAGTCCGGCTCTTGGCAACAGGTACAAAATGGTTCACCGTGAATTCAACAACGTGGCCATTTTCTCACAGGTATGGGGTGAAGTTACTGCTGTCCTGGTGAAACTCTGATTGCAGGTGACTGCATTTAGGTTCTCATCCTGCTTGGAGGTGTAGTTTGCAGCCTATCGTTGGTCAGTAATAAGTTCCAAAAAAAGACTTCTGACTTTATTCTGATTTTTCAGCTGAAGTGTGCAGACACTTCTGCTTTGATAGAAGCATACAGGCTCCATTCTCCAGCTGGTGAGAGGCTGTCCACCAGTCTGAAGCGAAAGCATCCCAGACCCGAGTTGTCTCTTCGCTGAAGAGTGGAGCTGTTACAGTGATCGTTGTTGATCCATGTAGGATTGCACAGTACTTCCAGGGACAGAAACTTATCTCCCCCTCTCTGCTGTCTTCCACTGCCGCAAAGGAGCGTGACTGACATCTGAGAAAGAGCCCTCTGGCCCAGCACGAGATGTTTCCAGCCTCTCAATTTCCCAGTTTGGTGAAACAAGCAACACCCAGACAGAGGTGTGACAGTTTGGGCATATCCCTGTTACCCAGTTGTGTGTTGGGCTGCCCTGTGCTCTTGCTGCCAGACATCAGCAGTGCCCATAGATCAAATTTTCCCCAGCGACGACAGGTTTAGCTCCTGAAATGTATGTTTGGGAACATTCCTGAGAAAATAAAGTAGCATATTTACCAGTGCTTGTTGCTGCCTCTCAGCACTCTCTGGCATGGTGCCTCGTGCTGTCCAGTGGCCCCAGTGTTGCTGGAGAGTGACCCTTTACGCGGTCCCTGAGTGCCAGCTGTGCCCTTGCCGTGTGGGATAACTGCTGGGCACGAATGGCTCCCAGAGTAGATCCTCAGCCAAACTCCTGCTCTGTTGCACACAGTGATCATTATGCCCTAATTCTACTCATAAATTGCTGGATTATCATAATGGAGCTTCTTACCAATTGTAGACCTCTGCCGGCTCCCGCCGTGCTTCCGTTTGGCACACCTGGCTGTGCTCTCCCTCCTCCGCAGCGTTGCACGGAGCTCAGCTGAGGTGTTTCCTGCCTGATCTGTTTGCTGAGTTCTGGTTTACTCTGAGTTCTTAAAACAGCACATGACATAAATCCCTTGCACAGTCTTTTTTAGCTACTTAACTGTCTCTTGTTATCTCATAAACGCCAATGAAATCACAGAATTGGACAAACAGATACTGAGGATGGTTCTGAATATCCCCCCTAGTTTTTTTTCCTGTTTCCTGTATTCCTGTGTTTTATATCACCTTCAGCAAAATACAGTAAAGATGTGTATTTCGTGGAAAGGATAAAATGCTTTTTTTTATTGTGCTCCCTGATTATTTGCAAGCAGGTAGGAAGGATGGATGGGACTGGATTCCCAAGCAGCCTCGGCTCGTTGTGTCAGTTTTGGTGTTTCAGCTGAGGCAGAGTGTTGCCAAAAATGCAAGGCCTGACATTCCATTCCAGTGCAAGGGCATCATAAAGCAGGCCTGCCAGCGAGCCTCGTGCGTGTGCTGCGGAGTTTGCCGTGCACCTGGTGCCAGCTGTGGGATCTGCCCTTCTCCGTGCAAAGCCACTTTGCCCCGAGAGCAGCGCGGCGGTCCGGGGTCCTTCCCCCGTGCAGATGCACACAAAGGAGGCGTTCCTGTCTGTAATTCCAACCTGTTTGATCATAGAATCCCAGAATGGTTTGGGTTGGAAGGGACCTCAAAGATCATCCAGTTCCAACCCCCCTGCCGTGGGCAGGGACACCTCACCAACCTACACCAGGGTGCTCAAAACCTCGATAGCAGCCTTCTATTGTGATACTATGGTTAATATTCCCATTAAAAGCTTTCTGGTGGGAAATGGTGGGCCTGACTGGAATCTGAGCGTGTGCTCATTCCAGGCACAGCCGTGAGTGTGTCGGACCCTCCGGGGAGGTGGCTCTGGAACTGCAGAGCGTGTTCAGCAGGAGGGGTGGGACGGGTGCGAGAAGCCCCACGGCACTTGCGCGCAGGATGGATCGGATAAGCAATCCGTTTATGGAGAGGGGCAAAATCATTACAGTGCTTCAAAACTCACTGGGTGTGGTGTTTTCCCCCCACAGATTCCTGAGCAAGACCAGACGTACGCAGAAGACAGTTTCTGTGTTGGGGAGGAGGAAGAGGAAACTTGCCAAAAAAGTGAATCTAGCGAGGAGGAAGTGTGTGTTAATTTTGATCTCCTAAATAACGAGAGTTTTACTAGTGGGAGGAAACAATACCTCACTCGCCGTAGAAAAAAATTGAACCAGGCCAGGGTGGAAGAGAACCAGTCTGCCCCAGTGCAAAAGAAGAAACCATCCCGAATTATTGTCCTCAGTGATTCCAGCGGGGAAGAAACAAGTGTCAGCAAGGAGAAGCCGACGAAAGCAGGCGGTGTGAGGGCAGGACAGGACAATGCTCCATCACCCAAGTCAGTGCCTTCCATCCCTTCTGGGCAGCACGGAGCAGTCACTGGGGCAGCTGGTGTTCGGCAGCCGGAGGAGAGGACCAGGGAGGTGCTTCTCAGCCTGAAGGCTTCAGTGTCTGAGACGCTGGATTTTCACCCAGAGCACCGAGTCAGGAGCACCAGCTTTCCACCAGCTGTCACTGGTTCCGATTTGGGGAAGGAGGATCTCCAGGCTCCCAAGGAGGTGGGTGTTAATTCAAAACAAGGACCTTCCTCTCCCCTCACGTTCTGCCAGAGGGTCCCCCGCGGTGGGAACTGTCCTCTCATGCTGGTGGGTTGAGGGCTGTCAGCAATACAGCAGCAAGAGTGAGGTGCTCCTGGTGAGAAAGGAGCAGGTCTGCTCTGCTGGTGCTGCTCTACATGCCCCTTTTCCTTGCTCTAGGAAGCTTTTGTACTCGCAGGGTAGCGTGGGGAGAACCTCAGCAGTCAGCAAACAAAAATTGTGGGCTGGACACCCTGGAGTCTGACAATCGTGGAGGAATAGGGATCTGTTTTGAATAGCAGAGAGTGTCCACTAATTCTTTGGGCTCTGTAGTTACAAAATACTTGTCCTAAAATAAGACCCAGCATGTCTGAGGTTGGATTCCTGATCTTATACATTTTTCTGCCTGATTTCTGTCATTTACAGTATCAGATTTTCTTGAACTCGTTAGTGAAGGCTGCATGCTTTTGTTGTTCAAGCTGCTAAATAATGAGATTAACTAATTTGGGAGATTGTTTATAAGGGATTAAAGCATTAATCTGAGAGTGTTAATGTTTTGCAATATCAAAAAATATCTTTTTTAAAAGATTTTATTAATTTGATTTAAAAAAAACCTGTGGAACAAAGTGTATCTGTTAAGCATCAGTATTTGGAAACCATCTTTTTTTATTGGCATGTTTTTTGGCCTTATGCTTCTGTCAACTCTTACAAATAGTGTGTGATTTTCAACATTTACAGGTGGAAAGTTCTTTGAAGAACACCCGCAGGAGCACTTCAGCACCATCTGGCACTGCTCCCACGAAACCCTCCTCAGCTACAGCTCTGTTTTCACGGGACCCTCCGGAGAAGAAGCTTTCACTCTGTGTTCTGGTAGACACTCATGAGATCTCCTCTGGACCAGAGGTGATTTCTTCCTTGAAGGCAGCTCACGGAGTAAGGGTGCAGGTTTGCTCGCTGAGCAGCAGCGATTACGTCGTGAGCAACCGCATGGCCGTGGAAAGGAAGTTTCTGTCGGAATTACTGAACTCTGTGAACAGGAGCAAAGTCACCCAGCGGATCCAGCGCCTGCAGAGCATGTTTGAGAGAATATGTGTGATTGTGGAAAAGGACAGGATTAAACCAGGTAGGTGTTCCCAGGCAGGAGCAGGACACTGGTCCCTGGCTTTGTGGATAGGCTTCAACAAAGAAGTAGGAGAATAAAGGAACAAGCACAATTGTATCTGTGCTTGGCACTGAAATAATAGTGGAATCAGGAAAACGATTTTTTCCAGCAGTACCCTAACGAGTGGTATCTGACAAACTGTACAGGAAAACTCTTGGTTTAGAACCAGTGAGAACGTATCCGGCCTGAATGCACCGTCCCACATGGGAAATCTGCTTCCAAATGGCAGAGCCCAACCCTGGAAACAGCTGCTGCTTGAACGAGCAGAAGATAATCGGCTATGGAGGCAGGTGGGGAGAGTTGGGGCTGTTCAGCCTGGAGAAGAGAAGGCTCCGGGGTGATCTTATTGCAGCCTTCCAGTGCCTAAAGGGGCTACAGGAAAGCTGGAGAGGGACTTTCTACAAGGGCGTGTAGTGATAGGACAAGGGACAACGGATTTAAACTGAAAGAGGGGAGATTTAGGTTGGATATAAGGAAGAAATTTTTCACTCAGAGGGTTGTGAGGCACTGGAAAAGGTTGCCCAGAGAAGCTGTGGCTGCTCCATCCCTGGAAGTGTTCAAGGCCAGGTTGGATGGGGCTTTGGGCAACTTGGTGTAGTGGAGGGTGTCCCTGCCCATGGCAGGGGGCTGGAACTGGGTGATCTTTGAGGTCCCTTCCAACCTGAACCATTCTGTGATTCTATGAAATCAGGTTTTACAAAAAGACCAGAACTCTCCTACAGAGGATTCCTTTGGGAGGCCTGTGTCGTGCCACAAAGCACAGAACAGAGGGGTCTCAAAAACACCTCCTGACTTGATGAAACATTTGTGGAAATCTCAAGACTCTTTCTATAATTTATATAGTTTGGACGAGCCATTTGTTTTAATCCTGAGATCCAAATGAGGCAATCAGACAATTTTACTAACGCTGAGTATCCTCATTGCCATCTAGATAGTAACTGAGAGGTCTTCCTGGCACCTGCTTCATGGAAGATGGAACTAGTGCTCACAGCTTTGACTAAATTACAGATGTTCTGGGATATAAAACTTCACTATTGCAATTAAATTGTTGTGGATGCAGCTTTGTTTTTGTGACGTAAATCTAATCTAGTGATAGTTGGGATACAGAAGGAATGATAGAAGTGGTCACTGAAGGTGTAGCTTCTCCGAGGGGGCTGTAGAGAGCGGGTTGCGTTTGAGCTGCCTTTTTGCCTCGCTGCATTTCCATCGTTTTTGTCCTGTTCTTCTCACTCCGCTGTTTCCAGAGGGCTGCTGGTTTCTGGGTTGAGTGTTCAAACGCACCCTTACGCTTGTGGCTTTATCAAACCTCTTCGCGTTTGTTCTGTCCTCTTGCTCGTCACGTGTTCTTCCCAGTCCTCTGTCCTAATGACATTTAAGTTGCATTTTTAGGGTTAATACCTGAACTCCTCCTCTCAAACAACTGTGTAAATCCCGCTCCTGTGACCCCTCCTGCCCCCTTTCTGTGAGACGCTTTCCCTCGCCTCGTTTTTGGTGGCGAGCTCTCAAGCCGAGGATCTTTGAGCTGGTTGGCTTTGCAGTTTTCACGGTAATTTGGCGCCTCACGTAACGTGTCACTGAGTTTCCCGTGTTCTCACTCTGCAGGAGAAACGTCCCGGTTTTTCCAGAGGACGCAGTACTACGACGGTGTGCTCTCCGCCTTGGTGCAGGCCGGGGTCCGCGTCCTTTTTAGCTCTTGCCAAGAGGAAACTGCCGGTTTGCTGAAAGAGCTGGCGGTGGTGGAGCAAAGGAAGAACGCCGCCATTTGCGTGCCGACGGAGGTGGAGGGCCACAAACGGGAAATGCTCAACTTCTACTTGAGCATTCCCAACCTCAGCTACCTGGCTGCTCTCAATCTGTGCCATTACTTCGGCTCCGTGAAGCAGATGGCCAACAGGTAACAGCGCAGCTGGGCGACGAGCGCCTCGAGGCCCGACTGCCCTTTCGCTCCTCTGTCTCCTCAGGGACCTCCTCCTTTCGGTTACTGCCATCGCTCCCCAGGAGCTTTCCTAGCTCCAGTCCTGTTCTTTATGCATTTCTCAGTCTCTTCAAGCTGAGCAGACCAGGGCAAGGACGCAGGCTCTGCGTCCACCATCCCTCTTTGTGCCCTGCCTTTTCCTTTTCCTTTCCCCTTCATGGCATTGTTTGCTCTGCAGCTCTCTGAGGTTTAGAATCATAGAATGGTTTGGGTTGGAAAGGACCTTAAAGACCATCTAGTTCCAACCCCCCTGCCATGGGCAGGGACACCCTCCACTACACCAGGTTGCCCAAAGCCTCATCCAACCTGGCCTTGATCACTTCCAGGGATGGGGCAGCCACAACTTCTCTGGGCAACCTGTGCCAGTGCCTCACCACCCTCTGAGTGAAAAATTTCTTTCTTATATCTAAGAAAGATATAAGAAAGAAATAGTTTTGCTTAGTCCGCTGTGCTCACGGTCCTCAGGGGCCACCTCAGCTTGTGGTGCTCCTGCTGCTCTCTTCACATGGACCCTTTCCCCTGTATCTCCCACAGCTCCCCGCTGGAGATCGCCACCGGCGCCCAGGTCAGCCCGCAGAAGGCGGAGGAGATCTACCGCTACCTCCACTACGGCTTCGACGTGCAGATGCTGCCCGAGCACCTCTGTGCCAAGGGCAGGAGCGCTGCAGCTGCCAACAGCTGAGTGACACGTGGTTCTAGAGCCTGGGGCTGTTTGCTTTTAACTAACTGCACTTTACTGAGTTTTGATCAACTGTAAAATATGTAAATAAATCCTGGCAGACAGAGCAGGGCCTTTGGCACTTCTGTTTGTTGCCCCAGGCTGTGGCTGTGCTCAACACTCACCCCTGACTGACCGGGGTCACACAGGTACCCACTGTGTCCCACCAACTGGTGCTTCTGCTGCAGCTGCGCAGGCAGCTGTTGGTGGCACGGGGTGAATGTGCAGAGTCAGGCAGGAGGCTCTGGGGCAGGGCTGGCTTTTGGTTGCTGGGTATGATCATTCCAAAACTCCTTTAAAAAAAGAAAATAATGGCTCAAGTGCTCTGGCAAAGCAAAGCTCCCTGATTTAGGCAGAAAGGTGGTGACGGAGGGGAAGGAGCCTTCCTGCAGTTATTTGCCATCCGCTGCACGATTGGTACCCGTTTCCCAGGAAAAAAGTGAATCGCCAACCGTTCCTTATGGGAACCTGAAAGATTTGCTAGGTTTAAAGCAGAGCTGGACGGGCCCAGGGCAGCAAGTTCGTGCCCTTGTTCTCAGGTGGCCTCACAGCTGCCATCTCCTGGTCTCTCCTGCCCCAGCCCGGGACCGCTGCCTGCCCGGGTGAAGCCCGGCTGCTGCGGGACAGGCTCCGGCGCGGTGCTGCCACACGGTGGCTGCCTGGCAGAGGGACTCTTTGTTCCCTCCTCTCCCTTTCTGGAACGTGTTTATGGAGAGGCTCATAGAGCAGTGAGGGAAATTAATAACCATCAATCACCTTCCTGAGACACGAGGGGAGTGGGGTCTAATCCGGACCAGCACCAGGCCCCTGTCAGCCACTCGTGCTGGTTTGAACACAAGGATTAAAACTTACAGATTCCTGGAACAAGACACGGACACCCTGCTTCTCCCACCAAAGAGTCCGAGTCACACGCAAGTAAAAGCAGCTTGTCCTTTTTATTACATTAAGGAAATGTAAAAATTCGAGTCTCAGTAGAGGAAATTAAAAAGTGATGCCCATTAGTTACTGACTGTAGCATTATAAATTTATTGTAAAGGCATATTTCAAAAAGATATTTCATCTTAAAACGAATCAAAAGGTGCCAGTAACTGGTATTGGAGAGCATTTCTCCCTTCCCCAGGAGAAACGGGGCAACGGGAAGGAGGAGCCCTGGGTAAGGAAGTGCCACTTTGTGCACACGGAAAATGACAAACGTTGCTGGATGGGAGGCAAGACAAGAATGGTGTTAAAACATGTAAAACCACTGCAGGTCAAGGCTTCCAGACTGAACTCTTAACATCCCAGAGGGGTGGCCCAACATCCTTGCTTCATACGAGAGGCACGTAGGTGTTGAACTGATGAAATCCACAAAGTTCATTAAACAGAAAAATAGGAATCCTGCTCTTCATCCGATGAGCCTGCTGCCTCGGCCACAAACAGCTTCCCTACAACAGAGGTCTGGGGCGCTTCTGCGATAAGAAAAATGGGAATTAGTACACGTGTGCCCGAGCTTCAAAAGCAGCTACAGAAGGTCAGAAAGCAAAGATGCTGATGAGAAACAGACTGTGGAAAAATGATTAAAGGCAAAGACTGCAGCCACCCAGCGGATCAGTGGCAACGTGAGAACAGGCAAAAGGGCCCGAAATGAAGGAGGAGAAACGAGGAGAACTTACGTCTGTCAAACCTGAACTTGGTTCTGCACGACGCCGGCGTACCGAGCACCACTCCAGCCTGGCAGGAAGGACAAAAAGACAAAGGGCTCTGCTCAATCAGATGCTCCGGCACAGGAGGGTCAGAACAGGTGGGGAGAGGAACCGCCGGCACTCGGCCTTCCACTTGGAGTAAGTTGCCCTGTCGCTATGCTGCGTGGTCACTAAACGTTTAAACTGCTCAACTACGCAAAAGCGTTCACCAGCCTAGGGGCACAGGCATTGCTGCGCTCCTGGGATCTCAGCTTTTCAGGGAAAAGCCAGAAGAATTACAAAACCTAGGATAGTGAGGGAATACACACATGAATTCAGGGACTAGCTGATAGAAGGTGAGCAGAATTTGTTTCCTTTCCCACTGTATAAAAGAATAAAACAGGAACTTCATGTACCTGAAGATCACAGAATGCACAAGCAGTTACCAATCCTGAAAAAAGGCAATATATTTAATCCTGACAGTAAATAGCTCTTTCCTAACACAAATAATTTTTCTGCAAGAGTAGATACAAAACCCAGAAGTCTCGGAGGAAGCAGGGGAGGGTTCCTGTTTTCCATCCTGAATGCACACGCCTAGTCTGTGATCCCGGGATTCTTTTGCCCGCTGCTTCGCAAAACTTCCCGTCGTTAAGGTGGAACTAGGCAACGTTCAAGGAAACGAGCATTACCGACTTCTTCTTGACCTTGTCCCAGGTGCCTCTGCTGCCCTGCGTGTTCTTCTGCATCCTGAACACGTGCCGGTCATAATCGTTCCTGTAGGTACAACCAAGCACGTTACGTCACTGGTGTGCCGCCTGCGGAACGCGCTGGATACCGTTAGAGGCATTGTGCGTACAGCTGGAATTCAGAAAGGAAATCAGCACAGCCATTACACCAGTTGTTGGTCACTTTACCAGTACGGGCAGCTCTGGGAGCATGGCGACACAGAGGTGTTTAATCAGATCACGGGTTCCAACTCCTAATGGAGAATCAGACAAAGCTTCACCATCTTCCCAGATGGAGCGTGCTTCCTGTCCTTTAGGTTAAGTGCCACTCACTCGGCAAGTTTCCAGGTGATTCCAGTTTGTTTCAGTAAAGCCTGAAGCAACTGGGTTAGAAGGTTAAGACTCAAAACAAGCAGGGAAACCTCTGCTGAGGCTGAAGGCCAACCCACTGCCCTCTCCAAGAGTAAAAGGACACACGACTGGCACTGCTCTCGTTGCCCACGTTTAGTGGAGGAGCTCAAACAGAACATGCTGTCCAAGGAAAGAGCTTTATCTCAACAAATCCCTCAAGGACTGCAGGATTTACTCTGCGTGCTCTACGTCTGGAAGTGAACTGGTGTCCCAGTTCCAAGAGGGATCTTTCTCAGAGGACAAAACCAATCTTGGGGAAAATGAGCAAGGGGAAGGCTAGCAGAGGGGCAGCAGTAGGAGTTCCTACCTGTTGATGGGTACCAGCATACCAGGGCTGATATGCTCACACTGAGGGGTTTTCACCAGAGGGAAGACGGCAGAGGAGGGTGTGATCGGGTTGTCCGTAAGTGCAAAGTCATCCTCATCATCATCCTGGCTTCCCCGGAACGTTGGCAACTATAAAGCCACATCAGAGCAGTCAATGACCTGCCCTTTCTAACAGGCCCGCTGAAAAGGCGTCCCACGGGTCGGGCTCAAAGTGGCGACAGGACACGGCCTCTCCGTGACTCCGAGCTGCCGCTGTGTCCCTCCTCCCCAGAGGGAGGAGTCCCAGACTGTTCTCTCCTCCAGGGGCAGGGGCTCCATCCCCTCGCTCACTCCAGCTTTGGTTTGGACTCCACTATGTCCCTCTTGAGACGCAGAACCCAGCAATGTGCAGTGTGAAAGGCCAAATGATGCCTCCACTTTGCTCTTAATACTCCTCCCGTTGATGCCCAACGTTTTGCTGGCCTTTTTTGGCTGCTACTACACATTCAAAAAATAATTTCTTAATAAAATGACAAGCTCAAAGCTGACCATTACTACTCAGGAGGAGGATTTCAGGATTACTCAGTGAACTTCTGGTTCTTCCAGTTTGGAGAGAGAGGAGAACTGGAAAGGTTCAGATAGGAGCAACGCAGATGATCAAAAGCACAGCAGGTCCTGCGGGGGCAGAGCGGGGACCAGGACAGGGGATCGCTGTCTCTTCCCAACGAGAAGAGGAGGACAAAGTCAGCAGATGCAAGTTCAGAACAAATAAAAAGATCACACTTCTTCACACAGCAAATAATTCGGCTCTGGAACTCAGGACAAGAAACTGCAGATGTGAAGAGTCTGCATGGGTTCAAGGAGGGGCTGGACTCATTCATGGAAGGGGAATCTGCTCATGACTCCTAAATACACCGAATTTCTCCCTGGAGGTGTACTTCTCATTGTGTGCTACAGAGGGAGGCGAGTGTCTGTTGCACAGCTAGGCAAAATGAATTTGAAAAGAAAGCAAAAAGAAAAGGGGAATAATTTTGAATCACTGGCTGAAATTGTATTCTACCAAAATTGGAGTCTGCTGGAGAATCCCTCTGCAAAAAACAGGGTGTGTGGGACACAGGCGCGTCGATTCTTCCATAGCCCATCTGCTCAGACCAGCCATGGGGATTTCTCTGTAGGCCACTGCAGTTTACAGAAAGCAATGAAGTCACCATCCCTTAAATTTTGACTTTGTCACAGGCCATGGCGTTACTCTAGCCTGGATGTGTGCCAGAACAGGAAACGCACCGTTGCTGCACAGAAAACCCACAAAAGACAAAGGTGTCGGGAGACGGACAGGTTCGGAGTCCCTGCTGGAACTGAGGCACTAGTTTTAATAGGCAGAGCTAATCTGGTCAGATGGTAACTGCAAAAAGAAAGATGCACCGTGAAATATACTTCAAAAATTCTCTACGGGGGAAAAAATTAAAATAAAAATGTGATAAACAAGTGGCTTTCTCTTTAAAAATGAAACCAGAGTCTTAACCAGCACCCAGAGCGCGTAACTGTGCTTCTCCACAGCTCAGGGGAGGCTTGTGGCAGAGAGGGGGTTAATGCTGTGCAGCTCTGGGGGTGCTGGGGGGCTGCAGGGGGGGCCGGGCACCGGCAGTCAGCCGCACTGGGGAAATGGGGCAGCTCCTCAGCCCGAACGGGCGACAGGTAGGACAGAGCGAGGAAACAACAGGTGAAAGCAGGGCACGAGGGTGCCACAACTGCCAGGGGAGAAGCCAAACCCCGCAGAGGGCACCGAGGGGCCCGTGGTTTGCACCGCGTGCCGTGCCCAGAGCAGAGGAAGCCCCTGTTCAGTGGCAGCGTGGCTGTCGGCAGCGCGAGGATCCCGGCGTCAGGCCCAGGACAGCGACTCCCAGCACAGCCAGCGCTTCCCGGCGGCGGGAGGACGCCCTCCCCCACGCTGGTTTTACACAGAAGCCACGTTCCGTGTTTCCTCGCTGCCGGCAATCCCAGTATTGCAATACCAAACCCAGGAAACAAGCCTCTTCCCCCAAATCCAGAGGGTTTTATTGATGGAACTGAGCCAGCAGATGTGTAACATGCCCTTGCCACATCACCCAGCAAAGCACACCCACACCCGCACACCCCCTTCTCCCAGATTTACCTTCACTCTTCTGTTCTGAAAGGGCGTCGCGGAGAAAATGTCGTCGTGGTCGTCCTTGGGCAGGTGCTCCAGGAAATCCCTCATCTGCTGCTTCCTTTTGAGGGTTCCCACTTTGGCCGTTACCGGAACCGGCTCTGTCCTCTCTACGTGAACCAAAACGTTAATAGTTCCAAGACACTGGTTACGTAGCGTGGTGTTAAAATTCCCTAACTGCATCCGTGCTAGCGACACAGTTCTGTGTCTCCTTCGTGAGACCCTTCTATGTTTTATAGATAAATGTCTTACAGCTTCTTCGAGTTCTTACACAATGTATGCTTCCAGAAATAATTCCTCTACTACATCCTAATCAGAAGCTTCCTCTGGAGCCTTCCACAGCCACACGTCACACACAGGTCAGCTGTTCTATCACTATTTTAACAGAATTATCCATGCGTCTGCATTTCAGAGACAAAAGACACGACAACAGAGCGTAGAATCACAGAATGGTTTGGGGGGGAAGGGGCCTCCAAAAAC